GAAGTGGTGCAAAGAGATGCGTTCGAGCATTGCACTCAACTTGAAAAGGTTGTTTTTAATGATAAAGTAAAATACTTGGGAAGAAGAGCATTTTATTATTGCAAAAGTTTGAAAAAAGTAATTTATCCAAAATAATAGAAAGGTGCCATGAGTCTACTTTTGACTTTTCTGGAATCAATAAAGATTGTGTTTTGAAAATGGTAAAGGTTATTTTAAACAAGTGATTGTTTACTTATTATTTACAGAAAATGTTTTATCAAGTCAAATATTTATAAAGTCTCTAATATTACCGTTTTATAAGTTGTAGCATTTTATAAATATGCTATAAAAAATACATTAAATATTACCTATTATGTCAAATTTGATAATTGAATTGCGACAAAAAAATATTTTATTTTTTGTTAATCGAATATTTGAAACATTTTTCCTTATGAATTCTGGAATTTTAGTGTTAAAATAAGTCCGATTATTTGTATAAACAGTGGGTGGACACTCGTTGATACAAATTTATATCAGGACTTCCTTTGGAGAATGTTTTAAAACACGATAATAACCAATTCATGTCTTTTGTTACCGTATTTCTTAATTGGAAAAGAAACGTTAGATGAATAGTTAATTTAATTAACAACATTTTGTTTTTTATCGGATTGAAAATGTTCACTCAACAATTATGGACGAATTGAATAAATAAACTAAAATTATAATAAAATAAATAATCTTTTTCAATACTTATTTGTTAATAAAACATAATAGTGGTTTGATTCACATTTATGACCGTTAAAATAAACTATTTAAATTTATTTTATAAACTATAAAATTGTATAATGTTATTTAAACCCTTTACCAAACCCCGTTAAATTAAAATGAACTTGTGTTTTCAAGGAACCCATTGTAAGGCACTACAGTCCATTGATCTCTAATATCGCATTTATTACACAACTTTGAGAATAAAAGTGTACCCGTATTTGTAATTCTAAATTGCCTAATCAACAATTTACTTGAGAAAACATATAAGTTTGTTGTTTATGTTTCTCTGAAAATTAAATACTGACCTATATGTTATTTATTTTATCATTTATATTTCAATATGATGTACTTTATTTAGTGTATTTGATTTGATCACTCTGAGGTGATCCAATAATTAAGCTATGACAATAAAGAATATTTTTGATTTATTCTCCCACAATTGCAGACAAACCTTCGAACCGAAGTTGATAAACCTTTTTGATTGGTCAGTTACATGAGGTTTACAAGTGTATTTGTCTCAAGGGCTTGTTGATTATATTCAATTGTTTCTTTGTGTAGACAGCATCGGACATGGAGCTAGCTCGGGTTCATATTAATTTTCCTCTTTTTTTCTATTGTTTGGTTTAATTAATTATTGGCTTTTTATAATATTTCGAAAGTGTGAATTTAATATAATTATTAATTAAAAAGCTATAAAAAGTTAAATAATTATTACAAATTTGGTCAAACTCTCGAAAATTTGTCTTTTTTCTCCTTGTTTT